TCTCAATAAGCTCGTATCTGTTTGGTCTAGTAGCAGTGATGGGCTTCGTCGGAATAGACGTAAGTGGTCTCCCAATTAAGAAGTGGCCTGGGGTCAGAGGAGAAGGATCAGTAACATTGGACGAGAGAGGAGTCAGCGGACGTGAGTTAAGGATAGCTTCGATTTGCGCAAATAGCGTTGCTAGCTCCTCAAACGTCAAAGCAGCATTTCCAGCTACACGTTTTAAGTGAAATTTTGCTGATTTAATTCCAGCTTCAAATATACCACCAAAGTGGGGAGAATATGCGGGGCTAAATACAAATTTGATTCCTTCAGAAGTAGCATAATCACTAACAGACTGACGGCTGGATCTAAGCAACCTACCCAGTTCATTGTTCGATTGTATTCAATAACCTTTTATCAGCTCCGTCCAAACCATAAAATTAATATTAATGAGTTTATTGACCATTACTTCGATATAAAACAAGTGCTTGTTAAACTAAAGTACACTATGTAATATAACAAATAAGAGCCAACTAATGGAATGCAAGTTTGAGGTTTGACCGACCATTGCAAGGTTCGTGCTTACCAGGAGATAAACCAGATCCTTTTGTACTGTGCCCGTAGGCGCCTGATAAGCGTGAAGATTCCTTTCTCCTCCAAAGCAGCCCATAGCAGTCACGGAGTATTGATCGAATGATAATAAACTAAAAAGCTTAAATTAAACCCCATTGACTGACAAACATGACTGCCTCGTTGGCAGTGGTCGCAAGTGCGACTGCCAGGCAAGGGGCTTGGGGTTCGATTACCGGGCCGGGCAAAATATTATTGAATTGTATTATATATTAAAAAATCTCAGTTGTAGCACGGAGGCTGGAATTGTGCCCTACCACCCTCTATTACATGGGACTCGCACCATAAACAGTGAAAAGTGGGTGTTACATTGTACAGTGGCATTAAGTGCCATATTGTGCACCTTTGCCTACCCCATCAGGGAAAAAACGATCACGCCTTTTAAAAAACACATTAAATAACATAACATCAGTTATGTTACGTAATTTTTTTTTTTTTAAGAAGGAAATCATCCAATGACTTCTCCCGTCTTAGGTGAAGTGAGTATCAGACTCTTACTGACTAAAATCCACCCCGTTCCTTCTCCTTTCTTTTCGAGCTGGAGCCAAAATAATACACATGTAGGTTCACTATGATAAGAATCCTACACATTTATTATTTCTTCCTTTTTTAAAAAGTGAAAGACGAGTAATGACAACACAACAAAAATGTTCCAAAAATAATCAAAATTATCATCAACTTCATTGATGTTTGTTTTCAAATATTTTTATCAATGAAATAACGTAATATATATTTAAGTAACTTATCTGATTTGCTTCCGGCCTTAGCATATTAACCGAAAACCGACCAATATTGTTTTATCGAAACGAGGAATTAAATTGATTATGCATTAACTTTAAATGATGTTTTATCAGACAAGTCATTATTAATAGTTACATTTCGTTCAACCAACATAATTATGAAAAATCCTGTATTTTATTCGATGTTTTAATAGGCAGAGGCGCTCCTACTGTGTTCACAATCCACGCTCAGAGTAAAAGGTAACCAATTAAGATTTTAAACCTGTCACTCTCATCTCTGCACTACCTAAAAGCCTACTGGGAGAGAATACCTAAGACATGAAGTCAGTTAGTCAGTACCTGTACAGTTTTTTGTATTATTAAGTGTTCATGTTCATATTATTAAATTATATTATTTAGAATTATTGTCTTGAATTGTAAAAAGTGTAAAACTTTTGCATGCCTTATAATTGCAAATGGCAAAATATGGCTGTTTCTGTATTTTTTATTATGCACCATGTACCATATTTGCGAAATAAAATATCTTATCTTATCATAAATCATACTAATATTATAAATTAGCTTCTGCCCACAGCTTTGCCCACGTTCCACGAGACGGGACCGCTGGCGAAGCCGCTGGCAGAACCTAATAAAATGCCCTAAATAAGAGAGCAAAAGGATCTTAACCCGTATAACAATAAAGTTGAATTCTTAACGTCCATGTTCTATTATAATTTTGCATTATCCCCCTAAACTTATTTACCTAGCTGCTAATTAAAGTGGGTACCTATTTACTTCCATAATTGATTAGTAATTACATAAAAGGTGTAATCAAACAGACTGGCCATTAATATAATGGAGTTCATGTAGACAGGTAATGTTTGCGCATAACTAACGCTAATTTATTTTAAAATGATTCATATGGTCATTCATTATTATATTATTATTATGTATGTGTAACAATTGCACTATTGGCGTATTGGTTAGTCAACCGTCTCATATGCAACATGTTTCAGATTTGATTCCCGCAAGAATCATGAATTCGTGTGATCCACAGATTGTTGTTCCAGGCCATTTACCAACATATTTTAAAAAATGCATAAGTACCCAGAAAATAAAACTGATTAGGACAAAATATCATAACATAACGCCTTTAATCCCCGAATGAGTAGGCAGAGGTACATTATGGTACTGTACAATGTAACACCCACTTTTCACAATTTATGTTATGAGTCCTATGTAATAGGGGGTGAACCTATTGCCATATACCGGGCACATTTCCAGACTCCGTGCTACTACTGAGAATTTTTAGAAAAACCCAGTAATATATTGCCGAACACGAGACCCCATGCCCGGCAGTCGCACTTGCGACCACACGGCCAACGAGGCAGTCGAGGACAAAATAAATATTAATAAAAGTCGTCATCAACTTCAGTTGCTTATCGCTATACCTACGTTTTTTAGTAATGAACAAAGTACAAATCAAATTCAAAGATCAAAGTCTCTATTAAAATATGTACACACGGCCACACATCAATCTATACAAAACCAGTTTATCCTGGTGTCGGGTCGCATCATCTTTCCGCACATTTAACGTTCAGTTTATACTGGTTATGTAAAGCTCGATGTGTAGCCGTGTGTTTTATACACCATTTTTTATACACCCTACTTTGCATCTCGGTCTAGCTTTGTTTCAAATCTCAAGTTATGCTTGAGTCAACCGCAAAACATTATTTTATACAGACTGTCATCTGCTTTCCACACTCTAATATAAAAGTATTTTTTTAGATATTAGAATTTAGACTGCCTCTTTGGCCGAGTGGTCGCAAGACTGCCGAGCTAGGGATCTTTCGATTCCCGGATACGGCAAAGTATTATCGGGCTTTTAAAAAAAATCTCATCAGTAGTAGTACGGAATCTGGAAATGTACCGATGTATTGCCATATACCGGGCGGTATATGGCAATAGGCTCACCCCCCATTACATGGGACTCAGACTATTACCTCTGTGTGCACTTCTGCCTACCACTTCGGGGATATTAAGGCGTGATGTTATGTTATGTTTTTTTAGATATAATGTAATTAAAGTGCTTTAGCTTTTTTAAATGTTGAAATTGGTTAATAAATTAAATATCATCATTACATACATAGTATAAAACAAAGTCGCTATCCACCGTCTGTCTGTCCCTATGTATGCTTAGATCTTTAAAACTACGCAACAGATTTTGATGCAATTTTTTTAATGGACACATCAACACTGCGGACTAAAGGCCTCATTTTTGGAGGAGAAGGTTTGAGCATTAACTCGTCGAGTACCGTATTTATAGACACAATTAAAGAACAATAGGTTGCGGTCACCGGTGACCGCTTGGTGTTTGACAGTTAAAAACCACGTCTGCTCAATGTGGTTTGTAATTAAATATTACACATATACAGTCACTCTATCCAGATCCAATAAGAACCAACTTAAAAAGTTTGGATCTAACTCCATTTCACCTAACTATGACAAAATTGATAACAACAAAAGAAACCATTGTATAAGGCAGGGCTGTCCATCCTTACTAATATTATAAATCTGAAAGTGAGTTTGTTTGTTTGTTCCACCTTCACGCCGTAACTACTCAACCGATTGCTTTGAATTTTTGCAGACATAAAGTTAGAAGTCCGGATTAAATAATAGGGTACTTTTTAACCCGGAAAAAAATAATATTTCCGAGGAAAAACAAAAGTATTGGTATAGATGGCGCTGTGTGTATTGGTATATGTCACATAGGCTACTTTTTATTCTTTTGTGACGCGAGCGAAGCCGTGGGTAAAAGCTAGTATTATATATTTTCGTGAGCTAATTAAATTTCTTACAGACGCTTGGAGGGCCAGAAACATATTTTCAGTTGTAATTATGTTTAACATTGTATTCTTTACTCACAGACCAAACTTGCGTACAAATCATACACTGAATTTTATTATTATTGTTGTTGCACATAAGATAGCCTCTCTTTTGAGATAAAAATCTGTCGCGAGCCGCATGTGGCCTGCGGGGCTTTGTTTGGACAGCCATAATAAGACACAAGACATCAAATACTAAACATAGACTGGCCGATATGGAACTTATTGAGGGAGACCTATTTTCAGGATAAATCACATAATCACACTATTTTGACTAAATAAATACCCTACATTTTAGTTTACATTCTGAATGACTATAACTAAATCAATTACCTATGTAAATATTAAGGTACTCTTTAAGTCATTTGAATTCAAGCCACAAGACTCAATGTATGAAACCAAATTGTTTGTTTTTGTTATGTCACATAAATTTCAAAGACCTAACATTTTTTTTAAATGTTATGTTATCTTTAAATATGTCAGGAAACCTAAAAATTCTATAATAGTTTTCTTTCTGTCACAAACATTAACATACCATACAGCCAAGATAAAACAAACAAACTGAAATTAAAACAAGTTTGTGATTATATAAACCATCAAAAAGGTTGCATATATTTTTATATGCTTCAGAGGGCCCATTAATTATCATGTATTCAATTAATATCGCAGCGTATGGATCAATTAAAAGCTTAAATTAATAAATGATCGTTTCAACAATGTAAATATATACGTGTTTTATAACAAGCCAATACAATGGTAAAATGGGGCTATTTAAAAAGGATATAGATTATGATTGGTACAGCTTGGGCCACTTTCCCCACTTCCTCATCAGTCTGCATAATCTTCTTGATTCGCCCCTACAAACAAACAATGTCATGATATCACCAATCTCTCAAAATTATTGACGAAAACAAAACTAAATTTCTCTTTATTATGATCACTTATTAACGTTTTTCAACTTACAGCTGGAAACCTTGCATTGTATTTTCTCTTCTTGGAAGGCATTTTGATAATCCGTTCACTTTAACACCAATTAAATGATAAAATTAGCTCACTTCACCATCAGAATGTTAACACTTCTCGCGCATTTTTGAGGTTATAAAAGGGGGACGTTCGCAGCCCACTTCATTTATATACGAATTTGACAGTTTCTCCACCATTTTTTATGGTCAATTTATGATTATCCACGTAATCCATTAAAGCAATGAGTGAAAAAATACCTCCAGACAAACATAATCACAGTCATTTAGTTTATTTTAAATATACTCGGTGTGTTTTCAGATAATTAATCAAAATGTAATTTACTTGGCTGAATGACTGAATACTTTGTCATCACAGTTTTAATTTGGAAAATAACAGGTCGTTTTGAAACAAAATATTTAAATATCTTCAGCCTTAGAAAAAGTTTTAATTGTTTAATAATTAAATTGGTAAATAAATAAATATTATTGTGAAAGTTAAAATTTCTCAACGATTTATTCCAGTCTCCAAAGTTTACGCTTGGGGGTTCCTAGACGAAAGCTTTCAAAAGTCATTCTCAAATAAAATGGCGTCGTTATCGAGGTGAGTTGTCCGAGATTTTATTTATTTTTATTATTACAGTTTTACCTTTATTTCATAATATATTAATATGTTATTACAAATCTAGTGTACTATTTTAATGCAAATTTAAAAAAAAATCAGCTATAGCAAACTGATTAATACAAACGTGAGAGCAAAATAAAGCAGTATCCTTCGTATTTGAGGTAAATACAGCACGAGATATCGAGTATTTCGCAACGATAACGAACTTAATGACTTCATTACCATTGGATGCAAATTTTTACGCATTATATTGTACCAAAAAGAGGTAAACATTTGAAAGATAACCTTATCAAAATATCATCTTTGTATTCGTTTTCTTTTTAGCCTGTTACCTGCCCCTACACAGCAGGTGTGGGATCGTGATGATGAGAGAAAAGCTAAGCGTGTTGGTAGTGCCTTGGTAGTATCACAAACAAGTGTTCCTCCATATGGACAGAGAAAAGGATGGGTTCCCAGAGCAGAGGAGGACTTTGGAGGTCAGTTACCATTTTACTATAATTTATGTCATCAATATTATTTTAAAATAAACTGTGTTCTATAGAGTCAGGAAATCGTGACAAAGTTACTCGAGGTAGATGGATTTAAATGAAATTATTTTACTGCCTTACTTAAACTTAATAATTGCAACACAATCTTCTTTTAATGAGGCTCAAACATCTAAGTGCTTCATGATTAATCTTCTTCATCTTTAATGGTGTATACAATATCTGTTCAAAAGAACTTCTGAGATTTTGCTTAAAATTCGCTTTACCTCCTGTTAAATTATTAATAAATCAAATCTCTGTCTCGCAAAGGCTGGTCATCATTATCAATTTATCAGCTACAAGACATCAACAAATAATCGCCTGCTACTTTCATCTCTGCACTACTTAAAGGTTGACTGGGAGACAATGCCCAATGCATTAATTCCACCTGTCCACACTTGTACTAAATACTTAATTCTTTATTGCTTTCAACATGCCTGACTTAGGTGGTAAACATAATAAAGACATTTATAATAAAGAAGGAGATATGGGTGTGGAGTCAAAAAATGTATGTAAAATGAGTGAAGCTACAATTGTCCCTCCATAAAACTAATATTACACACACAGTCTTACAAAACAATACTACGAAAAAGTGCACACACACAGCATCGATTACTCAATAATTTAAATATAAGACTTCCAGTTTTTAATTGGTTTTTGTTATCAACCGTTGTGACTGTAATAAATAAATAAATAAAAGCCTTATTCTTTAAACAACAGCACACCTTTTCTTTGTTTTACTCACACTAAAACAATTTGTCACGGTGTGTTAGGAGCGGGATCTACCTTCGCCGTAGTGACTTGATGATATCGAAACCTCCCGATGAATATATAGATAAATTTATTACAAAGGTTTTGGAAATAAAGTAAAAGCGACATGAAACTAACAAAATATTATTTAATTATTAAAAAATATTTTATTTAAAAAATAATTACAAATCAAACAACAAGTTGTATAACAAGTTGTGTAGTTATAATGATATGATGTGGATAAGAAGGGATCGAATTCTTGGTTAATTAATGAGTCTTAATGTGGTATATTTTTCTATGACTGCTTTTATTAATAATATTATGTGTTTATACATTGGGGACTACTCTGTGAGTACAAAATTATGTCTATGCGATGCTGATCATTATAATGCATACAAAGCTAGTGGTTCATTTATGAAGATCACAGTAAAATACTATAACCATTACAAGTGAACAAATACAACTATTTGCAGTCTACTTTCTTCTCGATAGACTTTGTTAAATCTCCATGACCACATCACTATCTCTCTCAAAGACGGCGGACCTGAGCAGCGGACGCACCACGTGACATTGCGTTTTGATGAGCGTTTCGTTAAGTTACTTTTACATTGCTGGTTTAGTTACTCAGTGTCACAAAAAAGCAATGTTTTAATGTAGACATAATACAGTCGGAGTAATATATAAAAATAAACTTGTTGTTTTTCGTGATTTTTAAGATAAATATTGTAAATATTTGCCCTTACACATGGTAACCGATGCCATGACTTCTACAGTTTTTGTTTTGGCTTATATTTCTGCATGAAACCACTGTACAAGGCGGCATTTTAATGTTTGTTGTACGATCGCGGGTGACAACAGACTAACTCGCGGTGACGGCCATAATTTCCTACATCGAGCGGAACGCTCAACTGCAAGCGTCACCGACACGCCCCCGTGCCACTTCTCCTTTTTTATTATTTCTGCAGCTGTAGCAAAATGCCATTTAGCGCTTGTCTACATGTAGAATAGAAAACCAAATTATATGTAATTGACGTAAATTTTGACACTTGTCAGTGTCATCCCCATACATTTTGATTTCTACTCTCTGTGTAGACAAGCGCTAGTGGCGTTTGGCTAAAGGCCCTGTGGGCACAACAATATAAGATTTGGAGGGAACACAGTTTGGCATGTTATTCAAAGAAGAAAAAAACTTATTGTACTTATTAAGTTGTGACAGATGGGACATCTAAGGCCTTTTGTTTAACAATGTAAAGGAGGCCATACACGCTAGGTTATGCATGATGGTTATAATATAACTGTGCATGCAAAACCGACAAGCATAACCAAGCACCAATGCCCCGATAACTGTACAGTTTAACCACATACACGCTAGGGCTTGCTTGTCAGTTATGCATGCACGGCTAAAACCATCATGCAAATGTAGCGTGTACGGCCTTCTTAAAAATAACTAAGAAATAAATATGATCAAATCTTTAAACTATAATCATATTTTCCAGATGGAGGAGCCTTCCCAGAGATCCATGTCGCCCAGTACCCGCTGGGTATGGGCGCCCGGGGCAAGGAGAGCACTTCCAATGCCTTAGCAGTCCAGTTAGATGAGTCTGGCCGAGTTAAATACTCAGCCATTGCTAGACAAGGCCATAGTGCTGATAAGGTAAGATTAATTGTATTTTATCCTGTAATATGCTTTAATTTTTACTAAAGTAATACTGTTATACTGCTTCATTGAGTGAATAGCTGGTAATACATCTGCCAAGCAAGGGATGTGTCAGGACAGGATTTCTTTGTTGTTAATTTTGCCCCACACTAGGATTATGTCCTGTGTCATGGGTGTATTTACAAACATACAATTCCACATACACATGACACCCAGACCCGGAACAACAATCTGTGGATTACACAAATAGTTACTCTATGTGGCAATCAGACCTGCTACACATTGTGCTGCAGCCGGTTACTCTACGATGGCACCAACCAAAGCAATTGAATTTGATATGCAACCATTTGTACAGCCAACTGATATAAAGATTCTTCTAAAAATAAACTGTCTTTTCACAAACATTTATTTTGCTTCTTTGTGTTAATAATAGTTATTTTTCTCTGTTTCCAGATAATATACTCAAAATTAACAGACTTGTTGCCTTCGGAAGTACTAGCGGAAGATGACCCTACACTCCAGAAACCTGATGATGACGACATACAGGATCTTACAGAGAAGACCAAGCTAGCTTTAGAAAAACTGACCAATGCTAAGATATCTGCTGCTATGCCCGTTAAAGCTGCTCCTAAAGCTGTGAGTTCAAGTGATTTGTTTATATTTATTTGTTTCACGACCTGTGTGCATAAAAATTGAGAAATTACTTTTTTCATAAATGCTTGCTTTTATATGTTTACTATAAAGAGTGTAGTAGCACATACTGTAAAACTATCATCACATCGATAGCCTATAAATGCCCACTGCTGAGCTAAAAGGTTCATGTCACACGGAGAAGGTTTGAGAATTAACCACCACCCTTGCTCAATGCGGGTTGGCGATTTCAAACTTATAATTAGAAATTATAGGCCCAAGTTTCCTCATGATGTTTTCCTTCACCGTTTGTCAGAGGTGTCTAAATAATCTTAAAAAATACATATAACACATTGGTATTTGCCGTTTGTAGGTTTCGAACCTGCAGCACCTGCGTCTTAAACCTCCGGACCACCACGATATAAATATTAAACCATAATTATTAGTAATTTATTATGATAACTATCTGATCCCCAGTATCAGTTTGTTGTTAGAACTCATTATATGCAGTATAACCTATCTTAAACATTATCTATTTATTATTCCCTGGAAGGAAAGGCCTAAGGTTCTTTCAGAGCATTCATTTTTCCCCAGTTATATCGTCATATATCTTGTATTGTATAGATAAGTTACAGTTCCTAACCAATTCTTCTCTTTGAGAAGAGCATACTATTATCAATCGCGCTGATAGTACCTTACCTCGGCAGGCCCCAGCACAATACATCAGATACACACCGGCGCAGCAAGGGGGACAGTTCAACTCCGGTGCCAAGCAGAGAGTTATCAGGTATGTACTAATCCTTATCCTTACTATTATAAATGGGAAAGTGAGTTTGTTTGTTTGTTTGTTCCGCTTTCACGCCGTAACTTCTAAACCGATTGCTTTGAATTTTTGCAGACGCAAAGTTAGAAGTCCGGATTAAATAATAGGGTTCTTTTTATTCCGAAAAAAATTGATATTCCCGAGGGAAAACAAAAGAATTGGTATAGATGGCGCTGTTTGTAATGGTATATGTCACATAGGCTACTTTTATCCTTTTGTGACGCGAGCGAAGCCGCGGGTAAAAGCTAGTTTTTACTATAAATGGGAGTTTTAGTCGAAAATAATGAGACAGTGTTAGAAATTCATAGTACAGAGTATAAAAACTGTTTTACAAAAGGGACTGGTACTTAGTCACTGGTACTGAACCACTTAGGCTGAGTCCTTAGTCACGTAGCACGCGCGATGCTCTTTGACTATGCTGACAAATACTCGATTTGTTTGAACTTGTCTGAATTGCGAGCAGGCACGCACGTGTGCGTTACCCAGGCCAGATATTGTCGAAAATGATCATTTGAATCTTATAGATAATTAATTAGTTTTGCGGCTTTTGGAATTGTTGCGCACATTTTTAAATTTGTTGCGCTTATAGTTTTTTAATTATTTCACCAAAAACATTTCTTGCTGGGATAACGTTACCCCAGTTGCAAAGTTATTCGAAATTTTGCTGGGGTAACGTTTTCGGTTTTTTCTTTGAAATTTCTTTGAAATTATCTTTGAAATGGTTAAACGGATTCTTATCATATTTCGTACATGGCTTCTTAGGAATTAGTTTAAATTTGTTCTGCAATAAAAAACCACAAAATAATACATAGCTTAAAGGTTATATCATTAAATAGAAAAACACTTCAATCGGTCCCAGCACTCTCAATAAGAGCTCTAAAGACATACTTTAAACTTGTTATTTTAAAGCTTGTAACTACCTTCAAATGTATGTGAAGTTTCATTACTATTTTGTAATTATTTAACAAGTTATGATGATATTGAGTTCTTCACAAGCACGATCTTGATTTGCGCGGCGTCCACTGTATGGGATATATGAACTGAATGTTATGTCAATTATTAGTAAATTCAGCTCAGTACATTGGATAAATAAATGATATAATACGATTAAAGTCATTAGGAAGTGAATGGCCGTGGTAACCCGACCAAATTTAGGTGGTTACGAAAAAGCGAAAACGCAGAACATTATGGTACCTTTTAAAATATAGTATTAGTTAAAATATAGTAGTAGTAGTGTAGTAGGATAGTGTTACAAATTTAGTACAGACTTGTACACAAGTATTAAAAAAACTACGTTATTATTGAATAATTTTTATTGACAGGTAATATAATCATTTCAATTGAACTTTTAAAGTATTATTAAACTTAAACTTAAAAACAATTACAGATTATAATAACATGGTAATTTTGCTTTTTTGAAATTTTCTATTCTTTTTAATTAAATTATAGATTTCAGTATACACAGTACACAGTTACAGTTATTATTTAAATATACACATATTGGACTGTGTAATGATAACATTCACAGACAATAAATAATAGACAATGATTTTTTTCAGTTAACACTAAACTTACGGTGCGTACAAACTATATTACATAATACGAAACGCACGCACACTCTACATGATGAATTATGTGATTATTGAGCATGTTTATTGCGACATGCAAACAAACAAAAAGTAATTAAAAAACTATAAGTGCAACAAGTTTAAGTAAAGTTTTACTTAATTTAGTATGTCACACGATAGTTATTATAAAAACACGCAACAAATTTAAAAATATACATATATAACAAATTTAAATACATACAATGCAATTAATTGTTGTATTTAAAATTAAAGAATGGTATGATCTCTGACATAGTGTATGAATACTTCTATTACTTATACATTGGTTCATGACATTCAATGTAATTTTTGCCAGAATGGTAGAAGCCCAGTCCGACCCCATGGAGCCGCCTCGCTTCCAAATAAACAAGAAGATCCCTCGGGCGGCGCCGTCCCCCCCGGCGCCCGTGCTGCACTCCCCCCCGCGCCGTGTGTCCGTCAAACAACAGAGAGACTGGAAGGTACCACCTTGTGTCTCACACTGGAAGAACGCTAAAGGTAAACACAAACTTTTACTTATATGTGAAGACAGAGTAAGTCAAAGTACTCCTTTGGGTTCATTCTCATGAAATAATTTTCGAGGTAGTTGGCAGAAGATAAGAAAAGTATTCTTGGAACTTTTTAGTTATATATTATTAGCTCAAATCCATTCACTATTGTAAAAAGACTTGGCTAGTAGTAGAGTAGCCTCCATTTCAAGGTTTATTATATGATTTCGGTCCTCAAATCTGTTAAAGAAACATTAGGGTTTTTTTGTCTTAGAGACTTATCTCTAAGACAAAAAAACAGGGCTTACCCTGTGGTGGCCACTGGCTTATTCACTATTCAAACCAAGGCTTATTCACTGAAACAAACTTCTACCGTAATTATACCTAATAACATATCTTTATCAACTTCTTCCAGGTTACACAATACCCCTGGACAAGCGTCTAGCAGCAGACGGAAGAGGATTACAACAAGTACACATTAACGAAAACTTCTCAAAATTAGCTGAAGCGCTTTACATCGCTGACAGAAAGGCGCGAGAGGCCGTGGAGGCGCGTGCGCAGCTAGAGAGGAGATTAGCGCAGAGAGAGAAGGAGAAGAAAGAAGAACATCTCAGAATGCTGGCTCAGAGGGCTAGGGATCATAGAGCTGGTTAGTTGTTGTTTTGTATTTGAGGATACTTGCTCTAATTGGATTACTTGCTTTAGGTAAATTCTTGGATTTAGCATGGTAAGATTTATCGTCGAAGATCATGCAACTTTTCATAATATGTGTCTGATAGTGTCCTAAGTTCTGTATTTGTTTATATTACAGTAAAACAGTCTAGTTTCGACAGCTGTTGTAAGTAAAGCAATCCTATATTTTATAACCCGACTGTAGGAAGGATATTGCTATCGCGTATCTTGTATGTATAATATGTGTATGAGTATTTCTTGATATTCTTCATTCATCCAGGTATTCTTAGGCCAAGGATTCACTAGGGGACAAATGTCCTACGATACGTGTCGCCAGTCACGTCGGGTGAAGTAGTGCGAATTACGGACTTTTGTCGACTTCGAACGTCGCAGTGGACATAAATAGCGCGTTGTAGCCATTTATGTCGGGCAAAATCGACTGGCAACGCTCGACAATTCGCCGATACATGTCGTACGACATTTGTCTCCAAATGTAACCTTGGCTTTAGATACAGACATATTATGTGACATTGAAAAAAACCAACATGGCGACTGACAGAATCTACACAGTTTGGAGTATTTTTTTTAATATGGTTATCAATTGAAAGATTTGGGCCCCATGATTATTTTCGTCTCAAATTGGTATTCTCGTCTTTGGCAGGTATATCGGTCCCGATTGTTAAAGTTGTTTGAATTAAATTATTTTATATGCTTCTGAACTGAACTTGTTATTTTTTAGCCATATAACAGACGGGTTTTTTAAATTTATTTTAGTAATTTATCAATATTAGCAGTTCAATTTGTGCCCGTTACCCAGGCCAGATGTTGTCGAAAATAGTCATTTGAATCTTATAGATAATTAGTTTTGCGGCTTCTGTAATTGTTGCGCACATTTTTAAATTTGTTGCGCTAATAGTTTTTTCATTATTTCACAAAATCATTTCCTGCTGGGGTAACGTTACCCCAGCAAGACTTTTTTCTTTCAAATGGGAATATTTAAATAATTACTAGCTATAAAATAACTTGTCTAGATAAAGTAAATGTTGTGCCTTATTTTGTATTTGTTCTTTCATCGGTTGCGAAGTTATTCGAGATTCTGCTGGGGTAACGTTTTTGGTTATGCTAGATCTTTGAAATGGTTAAAGGGATTCTTATCATATTTAATACATGGTTTCTTAGGAATTAGTTTAAATTTGTTCTGCAATAAAACAACCAAAATAATACTTAGCTCAGAGGTTATTTCATTAAATGTAAACACTTCACAAAGTTATTTTAAAGCTTGTAACTGCCTTCAAATGTATGTGAAGTTTCATTAGTATCCTGTAAGTATTTAACAAGTTATGATGATATTGAGTTCCTCACGAGCACGGTCTTGATGCGCGCGGTGTTTTTTGGCCACTGGATTGGATATATGAAAAGTGAGCCTTTAGAGCTCTTATTGAGAGTGCTGGGGCCAATTGAAGTGTTTTTCTATTTAATGAAATAACCTTTAAGCTATGTATTATTGTGTTGTTTTATTACAGAACTAATTTAAACTAATTCCTAAGAAGCCATGTACGAAATATGATAAGAATCCGCTTCACCATTTCAAAGATCTAGCAAAACCAAAAACGTTACCCCAGCAAAATTTCGAATAACTTCGCAACCGATGAAAGAATAAGTACAAAATAAGGCACAACATTTACTTTATCTAGACAACTAATTTTATAGCTAGTAATTATTTAAATATTCCCATAAGAAAGAGAAAGGTCTGGCTGGGGTAACGTTACCCCAGCAGAAATTGTTTTTGTGGAATAATTAAAAAACTATAAGCGCATCAAATTTAAAAATTTGCGCAACAATTACAGAAGCCGCAAAACTAATTATCTATAAGATTCAAATGACCATTTCCGACAACATCTGGCCTGAGTAACGCACACGCTTAATTTTGTATATAGCAGCTCTAAGATCATATAAACCAACTTATAAAACGTCATTTTACGTTATAAAACCCAACCCAGATTGCTCATAGGTAGGCGTGCTCTACGTCGGCCACATCATTACTTACCACCAAACGAGATGGTGGCCAAACATCATCCTATCTAGTATAAAAACATACCACTTCACCTTTTCACCAAGAAGTTACATTCTAGGTATCCGAGCTCCTGACGAGGATCCGGAGAGTAATGAAGTGGACGAGAGCGGACTGACGGCCGCCGAGCGAGACAAACTCAGAGCTGACAGACACAAGGAGCGGCAGAGGGACAGGAACCTGGCCAGGGCGGCACCTGATAAGAGGTATAATGTAGACTGGTTACTATTAGAATAATTTATTACTCTTTTTGGTGTCGGGGGTGTCCAAGGCGGGCTGATCATTTGTCTATATTTTATAGCGACCGGCGACTTTACTTAAGTCTTTGATTGCCAGTACAAAAGTGGTGAAGGCAAATCCTCCGCTAAGTCCCCGATGATCCCCATGGCGTTATCGTGTTAACGATGTTTCCATGTTTTCACGCTTAAAACCTAGGGTAGAGGAATTTCACAAGCTTTTCAATACACTGCAATAATAAAATTACTATTACCTAATTCAGTCCAGTCGTTTTCGAGTTCAAACCAGACTAACAAGCGGCAATTGATTTTAAAATCTATTTTCGTTCTTAATGAGGACCATCTTTAAACTGTCAAACACCAAGCGGTCACCGGTGACCGCAACCTATTGTTCTTTAATTGTGTCTATAAATACGGTACTCGACGAGTTAAGAAGATTCTGGTTAATACACACTAAAGGTATATTGTCTAAGATTGAAACAACATTTCATTGATATAATAATACAGATTCTGTCAATAATTTGATACTATGACATAATTTTAGTAGTAGTAATATGATTATTAATATGTTTTCTGTTTTCAGATCGAAACTAGTAAAGGACCGGGAACGTGATATTTCTGAACAGATCGCTCTCGGTCTGCCCGCGAAGACGAACCAGGGCGGCGAGGCTATGTTCGACCAGAGACTGTTCAATAATAGCAAAGGAATGGACAGTGGTAAGACAATTTTTATGTTATTTGTAACTGAACTCAGTGTCTCCTAATTTTATTGAATTTGAAGGGCTCATGTTAATGATATAGGTAACCAAAAAGATGGCTTACATGTTTCCAACACCTTCAATAATATTTATTATTTGAGTTATTGTTTTTTCTACTATTACATTTTAGTTTTTGGCGAACATTTAATGAAATATTGAATAAAAATGAGGAATGTGGAAAACTGAAACATATGTCTCTTGGAAAATGTCCCTTTTCACTTCTCAAGCATTTAATGCAAGATTTTTTATGACTTCATAACGAAACTATAAGTCTTTAGTTTTATATGTGGACACGAAAATGTGGAAATGTAATGTTTTCATAACGTTTGTCCAGGTTACGGTGACGACGAAGCATACAACGTATATGACAAGCCGTGGCGCAACCAGGACAACGTCGGCGCTCACATCTACCGACCGTCCAGGAACGCTGACAAGGACAACTACGGAGGAGACATTGATGCTATTGTTAATACGCGCAGGTAACTTATATGCTTACACTTGCTGCTTGCAGTTTCACCCGCTCTGCTCGGCTCCTCTTGGTCGTAGCGTGATGTTTTAGGGCCTATAGCCTTCCTAGATAAATAGGCTATCCAACACAAACATTTTTTTTAAATCGGTCTAGTAGTTCCTGAGTTTGGCGCGCTTTAACAAACGAACTCTTCATTTTTATTTAATAGTATAAGATAAGATTATGTTTTTCTAAAAGGATTACTTACATTCTCACATGAGAGAGCTATGCTTTGGCACAAATAGGCCAACTCAGCCAGTATTAGTGTGGTTAACCCAATCATCGGCTCCTGAATTTCCTAAACCCCCAAGTGCAGGTGTTGCAGGGTCCATAGGTAATCTGTCTGCTCGTTTGCCGACCTATTTCATAAAAACACAACAATCTCAAGAATTATCTATCATATCTTAGTTTACTTCCTTGTTTCGTCTCGAAGTGATCGTGAATCGAGCTGTATAAATTGTGTGCGTTACCCAGGTCAGATGTTGTCGAAAATGGTCATTTGAATCTTATAGATAATTAGTTGTGCGGCTTCTGTAATTGTTGCGCACATTTTTAAATTGGTTGCGCTTATAGGTTTTTAATTATTTCACTAAAACACTTCCTGCTGGGGTAACGTTACCCCAGCCAGACCTTTCTCTTTCTTATGGGAATATTTAAATAATTACTAGCTATAAAATTGGTTGTCTAGATGAAGTAAATGTTGTGCCTTATTTTGTATTTGTTCTTTCATCGGTTGCGAAGTTATTTAAGATTTTACTGGGGTAACGTTTTTGGTCTTGCTAGATCTTTGATATGGTTAAGTGGATTCTTATCATATTTCGTACACGTCTTCTTAGGAATTAGTTTAAATTTGTTCTGCAATAAAAAACCAAAATAATACATAGCTTAAAGGTTATTTCATTACATAGAAAATCACTTCAATTAGTCCCAGCACTCTCAATAAGAGCTCTAAAGATTTATTTTAAAGTTTGTAACTGCCATCAAATGTATGTAAAGTTTCATTAGTATCCTGTAAGTTATGATGATATTGAGTTCTTCACGAGCTCGGTCTTGATGCGCGCAGTGTTATTTGGCCACTGAATGGGATATATGAACTGAATTTTATGTCAATTATTAGTTTTTTAGTTCAATTGAATATCAGTAAAATTTCAGTTTAGTACATTGGATAATTAATGAGATAATACGATTAAAGTCATTAGGAAGTGAATGACCCGAGTGGTAACCCGACCAAGTTAAGGTGGTTACGAAAAAGCGAAAACGCACAACATTATGGTACCTTTTAAAATATGTAGGATAATATTACAAATGTAGTACAGACATGTACACATTTTTTTTTAAAACCTACGTGATTATTAAATATTTAAAATTGACAGGTAAAGTAAGTATAAGTTTAATAATATTAAAATTGAATTTGTACAGTATTATTAAACTTATACTTAAAAACAATCACAGATTAAAGTTACACATAGTAATTTTGCATTGTAATTATTTAAATATTTCCATTAGAAAGAAAAAGCTCTGGCTGGGGTAACGTTACCCCAGCAGAAAATGTTTTTGTGAAATAATTAAAAAACTATTAGCGCAACAAATTTAAAAATGTGCGCAACAATTACAGAAGCCGCATAACTAATTATCTATAAGATTCAAATGACCATTTGCGACAACATCTGCCCTGTACGCAGACGTATAAATTCTCATGTAACTTGTATAAAAATTAATAATAATGTTATTTCACTTTCTATTCCAGATTCGTCGCAGACAAAGAGTTTGCTGGTACTAGCAGTAGTAACACCCGCGCTGGGCCGGTGCAGTTCGAGAAGGACGCACCCTCCAGTAGAGACGAACCTGTAAGTATTTTGAAAACATATATGTCACATAATATCACGCCTTTTATCCTCGAAGGGTAGGCGGAGGTGCACATTATGGCACTTAATGCCACTGTACAATGTAACACCCAGTTTTCATTATTCATGTTATGAGTCCCATGTATTAAGGGTGAGCTTATTGCATTATACTGGGCACACTATTCCAGACACCGTGCTACTACTGAGATTTTTTTCAAAAACCCAGTAATACTGTGCCCTATCCGGGAATCGAACCCGAGACCCCTTGCCCGGCAGTCGGACTTGCGACCTCTCGGCCAATGGGGCAGTCTATATTTTGATAACTTATAGACAAATAGTGAGATAGACATAAATAGAAATATACAGTCTCTGTGAGATATTTTTAATAGGTTTTTAGTTATATTTGTTATGTTGCTAGTCCCACAAATAAATGAAGAAATGTAAAGGTACTATAACCATGACCTTAGTAATAATATCAATGAAATTTGCTTTAATTTTGCACTTTATTGGTTATTAGCTGAACACACAATTTCATCGGCATTTTTCTAAAATAAAAGTAGTCTATGTTACTCCTTAGTAGGTAATGACCTACCTGCCAATAAAAGTTCCTTCAAAATCGGTTCAGCCATTTCAGAGATTAGCCGGTACAAACAGACAGACATAAAAATATTGTAAAGTGGTATTTTGGTATATGTATTGTATGTATATTCATATGAATGTAGTAGAAAGCGGTTATTTCAATATTACGAACAGAGACTCCCAATTTTATTTATCTGTATTTATTTTTGAATATACTCCGTAATAGGAATGTAGGGAAAGCACATTTGTGACAAAATGAACAAACACACTTTATAATTTGGTTTGATATGACAACTGCAGCAGCTGTAGCCAAATGCCATTTAGCGCTTTTATGGAATTGACGTAAATTTTGACACTTGTCAGTGTCATCCCCATACATTTTAATTTCTACTCTCTCTGTAGACAAGCGCTAATGTGGCGTTTGGCTAAAGGCCCAGGAATATGTTTCGCACAGTTAACTTTTGGCAACCATAGAACATGATCACCACGAACCACCTAACAGTGTATTTCCATCCACAGTCACAGTCGCGCAGTAACCAGCCGGACGCGGACTTCGATCCATTCGGTCTGGATCGGTTCTTGAGTGAAGCCAAGCGAGCCGACAAGTCGGGGCGCAAGCGAGACCATCACGACCGACACGATCAACACGGGAAGAAGAGGAGGGATTAATTGTAGGTATATGTTTTGTTGTTTGTCCAACAAAACTGGAGTATCTGGAACTATGTATGTCAGACAGTGTGACAGTCTTGTTGTTGTCGAAAATTTGGTACTTTTCTTAGTCATAAATAAATTATTTCGACTGTTCTATACAATAAAGTATTAAAACATAATCACACTTTCATTGATTGATGTTATAACTAACATAATTTTAGTAGTTTTCCAGCAAATTTTAAAAATATAAGTGTGCTGTTTGACGCCATGAAAACGGAACGTCACAGTACACAATCTCGTACAAAATTCATAGAGAAATGTCGTTTTTGACAGTCCGAAAAAGTATTGATATTGAGTAGTTGGCAAGTACCCAATTGTAGTTTAATAAGTGTGGGAGAGGCATGCTTGTGAGTGTATTTCATTTTAGCATACACAAGAAATAGTGTGCGTTACCCAGGCCAGATGTTGTCGAAAACGGTAATTTGAAATCTTATAGATAATTAGTTATGCGGCTTCTGTAATTGTTGCGCACATTTTTAAATTCGTTGCGTTTATAGTTTTTTAATTATTTCACAAAAACATTTCCTGCTGGGGTAACGTTACCCCAGCCAGACCTTTTTCAATCTAATGCTAATATTTAAATAATTGCTAGCTATAAAATTAGTTGTCTAGATGAACTTAATGTTGTGCCTTATTTTGTACTTGTTATTTCATCGGTTGCGAAGTTTTTTGAAATTCTGCTGGGGTAACGTTTTTGGTTTTGGTAGATCTTTGAAATGGTTCAGCGGATTCTTATCATATTTTGTACAAGGCTTCTTAGGAATTAGTTTAAATTTGTTCTGCAATAAAACAACCAAAACAATAGAGTGCTGAGATCAATTAAAGTGTTTTCTATTTAATGAAATTACCTTTAAACTGTCAAACACCAAGCGGTCACCGGTGACCGCAACCTATTGTTCTTTAATTGTGTCTGTAAATACGGTACTCGACGAGTTAAGCTATGTATCATTTTGGTTTTTTTATTAGAGAACAAATTTTACCTAATTCCTAAGAAGTCATGCTGCAAATATGATAAGAATCCGCTTAACCATTTCAAAAATCTAGCAAAACCTAAAACGTTACCCCATCAGAATCTCGAATAACTTCGCAACCGATGAAAGAACAAATACAAAATAAGGCACAATATTTACTTTATCTAGACGATTAATTTTATAGCTAGTAATTATTTAAATATTCTGATTAGAAAGAAACAGGTCTGGCTGGGGTAACGTTACCCCAGCAGGAAATGTTTTTGTGAAATAATTAAAAAACTATAAGCGCAACAAATTTAAAAATGTGCGCAACAATTACAGAAGCCGCACAACTATTTATCTATAAGATTCAAATGACCATTTCCGACAACATCAGAAATATTTTCATAATCAATTAACATTTTGTTGCCAAACATTTCAAACATTCTACAGCAAACCAAACATTGATTGGTAAATGTATGTTATACAAAAGAAACATCTTCATTGTACATTATAATCTTGATCATACAATCTACTTAATCTGTAGGTATTGTTATTTTTGATCAATTTTTTTATTACACCGTTACAGTGTCAAGTTTAAGATGGCGTTAATAATAACCATTTATCTTGTCTTGCCTACAGGTACGGACGCTGTATATAAGCATTAACACGCTAGTTTAAATTTTTCAGATAGCAATAAGACTAAGAATGATTTTGTATTGTACAGGACATTCCGGTTTTATCCGTTTAACTTAATTAGATGTGGTCGTGTTTTAAGATGTTTTTCTTACTTTGTGTGTTGTAAGAAATGCACAAATTCGATTAGGTAATTGATACATAAGTCAATTAGTAACGTATGAAATTTTCCACGAAAAATTGATAAAACATACAATAACTGGAATGCTTGTATGATGATCCAGATGCATGGGTATGATGAAAGCTAAAGAAGAATGTAAGGATCGTAGTTGGTAGCACTCTTTAAGTTCTGTTTACCTTTGTGGAACGAAGGTTTAGTACTCATCTGTTTTATTCGAACCACAATAAGATTATTTTAATTTTTGTCAACTTGGTTGTGCAACCAAATCAATCTATAGTTGGCTTTGTGACTTTCACTCGATACACTAAAATGAATCAGGCCCCTTAAAATCTAGTCTAGATGAGACTTAGAGACGAGATAAGCAATACGTTTGGACCAAGAAGTGTAATATAGAGCGGCAACATTTAGCTATAAGCTCTTCCTACATAACTTCTCAAAATATGACCACATTTCTAGTTACTGTGTATGTAATTAAGCAAGCTTTATGTTATAAATAAAATTTGGTTGTAATTATGACGTGTTTCAATTTATTATTTGTCACCTCTTTTTTTACTTATATTTTTCATAGCATTTACGGCCGTTCCCAATATTCTATCTATCCCTTGTTTTGCCCTACTGGAGATAGAAAAATCTATCTATCTTTAAATTTGCCGTCTCAATAAACTTACTGGCGATAGGCAAACTAATCTATGGTTGTCATTACCTGTGGGAGGACGGATAGGTTATCTACAGATTGCTTTTACTATGAAATTGACATTAGGTAATTATTTATTTGGAGTTTATCGGCTATTTTACATCTAACCGTTAAACCAATAACTGTTGGGCAGAAAACCACCAGGCACGATCACCTCGCCTGGTCGGAGGATCCTCCTTTTCCGATCTCAGGGACAGTAACATTTACTTTGTTTTTGATACTTTGGAAATGTATGTGTCCTGAGCTAAAATCGTAATTTTGAACTTTCGAACAAATTCTAAGTAAATTCTGCAATGCCTCCATAAACCATAAGTTTTTAGGGTGCCATCAAATAACTAGATCTGATGATACATACCATTTCTTTTCGTTGGCCCGGCACTTATGAAATGTATGGAGCCAAAATGATCTCCTTTAACGCCATTTTATCTATATATTGTAACTTTATACGAGAAAATAATAAAATACGTGTCTAATATTTTTCATTATCTGACGGACTACTCATAGGTATTAATAATTTTCATACCCTGGCAACTACCCTATTTATCGAGTTTTAGATAAGTAATTATAGAATCAGGAGTAGGTAAATTTTTTTACATTTGACAGCCAGATTCGTCCTAATCCAGCAAAAATCGATCGATGCGTCCTTGATAGTTGCCGCGTCATGCATGGTGGCAATTTATGTGTGTGATACCCAGGCCAGATGTTGTCTAAAATAGTCATTTGAATCTTATAGATAATTAGTTGTGCGGCTTCTGTAATTGTTGCGCCCATTTTTAAATTTGTTGCGCTTACAATTTTTTACATATTTCACAAAAACGTTTCCTGCTGGGGTAACGTTACCCAAGCCAGACCTGTTTCTTTCTAGAGGTCGCCATCGCCGATCACTTCCCTGAGGGCACGGCGGTGCTCAGCCCACGAAGGGCATTCTCCTACTGTGTGTTCCACCGTGTCCTCAGGGCGGTCCTCGCAGTGATGACACCCGGCCGTTTCCTCCCGCTCCATCAGACACAGGTACCTCCCGAAACTTCCATGTCCGGTGAGGACCTGCGTCAGGCGGTAGGTGAGGACGCCGTAGCGTCTCTCAAGCCACTCCTCAAAGAGGGGACTTACCGCTGCGATGGCAGCGAGCCCAAAGTTATGATGACATTGAGTTCTTCACGAGCACGGCCTTGATGCGCGCGGTGTTATTTGGCTACTGGATTGGATATTTGAACTGTGTGTAATGTCAATAATTAGTTGTTTAGTTCAGTTATATATCAGTAAAATTTCAGCTCAGTACATTGGATAATTAATGAGATAATACGCTTAAAGTCATTATGAAGAGAATGATCGTGGTAATCCGACCAAGTTTAGGTGGTTACGAAAAAGCGAAAACGCAGAACATTATACTATCTTTTCTAACATTCCCAGCTGCTATTTACCTACGACGGAATAACCCTGCAAAGCGGCATGCTTAATTTCAAAGTTCAGAACTTTAAACACACAAGCAGTCTTATAATTTCATATTGGGGCAGCAGAGCTAAGATTAGCTATCCTACGGACTGTGTATGCATCATTAATATTTACGTATTTTAGTCAACCAGCAACTAAACATGCCGATCAAAATAGTTATAAAGTTAGGTGCACTGTACAAATGCTGTTTTAAAATGCCATTTGTAAGGTATTCCGTGGAGGAATGTTGGAGGAGCGTACAAAACCCTAGTACCACTTTACTGAAGCATATGAAAGGAGGTTCTCAGGATTGGAAATTAGTAAATTAGGGTTCGGATAATAATTGTATTTTGAAAAAAATACTCACTAAAAGTACTGAATAGACACATGGTTACAATTATGGGTATAGTACAGCGGGTAAAACTTAATATTATAAATGTATCTATGCATAGTAGGCGGGATGAGGAGGCGGGGTGCATGAGGCAGCGAAGCGCTGCCTCCTCACAACCCAGCCGTTGCAAAGGACACTCCGGGCGTCGGCGATAGCGAGACGATCTCCGGTCACCATAAATACGGGCCTACGGACGGTGAGTATGGGTAGCTCGCCGCCCGACGAGAACCAGACCTGAGCGTGGGGTGCGTTGCTTTCTGCGCGCTCCTCAAAGAGCCATCAGACCACCACAGATGGGCCCAATAGGGCTGATGCCGATACGGAGCCGCGGAGATCTTAAAGGGTTACCGGGGCTCCGACTCGAAGTGCAAGAGTAGGATCGGGGTGGTTTTTAGTCAGTAAGAATCTGACACTCCCGCCTCACCTTGACGGGAGAAGCCATTCGATGATTTTCGCCCCTTTAAAAAAAATGCATAGTAGGCATGTAAGCCGCAGACTGGCGACGCGAGCGCCGCGGTCTCCGGGATTGTGAAAAAAAGAAATGCTAAGATATCTTACTCAACATATCTTAGTGGTTTACGACCGCGCGACGTCCTTATTGGTCGCGATGTATTCTGTGTTGCTACAAGCTTGATAATTGTGTTTCTCAGCTTGTCTACATTAGCGCCTGAGAAT